CCCCCCCCCCTTCCCCCCTACAAGAATCTCTGTCCTTCTGTCTCCTCAGTCATCACACATAACCTGGCTACCGAGTCAAATTATACAGGATGGCGTCAATTCTCTGTAGATAATGTGCCAAGGCAATGGCAAGAATCACTTCCAAATTTTGATAGAAGTCCAGATTTTGCCCTGAAGGGATCAATTCATATTCAGAGTAGCAAATTAGATGAAACAATAAATGAAATTCTGCAATAAGCTCTGGGTCTTTCTCAGCTACCTGCATGGGTCCCTGAAAGAATCTCTGTCTGGAATTTCTGAGAATGTAACTTTGAGGAGGATAAAATAAAAGGGACTAGCTCTTTTAGATCAACTATTGTTCACAAAGGGAGAGAGGACATGGATGGGGTCACTCCTTTGCCTGTTGGTCTTCTGATTCATCCACAAGCCTCCTGGAACCATGGAACTGATGTGGAAACAAAGGTCTTCCTGGCTTTGGTCCCACCTCACAGGGTCTGTCAACCCTGAAGCTGCCGGACACCTTCTCAAATCACGCTACTCACCTTCACACAGCCCAGTGCTCTCCAGGTAGAACTGTACTCTGCACTGGGACAGACATTTGCCGGAGGGGATGCCTCCCCCAGAGAGCTGCCCGACCTGTAGTCCTTCCTCTGGCTTCCTACACCCAGTACAGTGTGAAGGCTCAGGACCCACACAAGTCAGGCAGGAGGAATGGCAGGCTGTACACAGAAATAAAATGCAGAAGACAATCCAAAGATCAAATATATGTTGCAGGGAATGGGAGCCCCTCATTAAATCAAAACCACTTAGAAAAGTTCACCAAACTCAACCTTCTAGCACATTACTTTTCTAGTGTTCTATACAAAGCACAGAGTGATGATAACTTTTGTGAACCAGTCACATCTCAGGTCCTGCAAGGGCTGTCAGACTAGATCACAGCAACACCAGCAAACTGGACAATATTGACTTGATTCTACAGAGAAAAACACTCACTGAATGACGATTTAATATGATGTCCTTGATTTTTATTGAAGATTTTTATAAGCATTCATACGAAGGCCTTTACTGTATTTTCTGCAAAATAGTTGTTGTGTTATTACCCATTAGTCATCCATCACCTACTACATAGGGGTCCAGGCAACACATTCCTCTTAGAATTTATTTGGAGAAAGGCTGCTTTTTTAGATCAGGAATAGGCCCCCTTTGAGTGGCAATGAACATTTCACAATCTATCACAGTACTTCGTCTTCTCTGGCTACTGGTGAAAATCAAAGCCAAATATGGTACTCACATTATCTCATGCCTACATGTAGATACAAGGAACTCCCTGTTCTTTAAAAGATTCTCTAAATTTCCTTTTTTCAAAATGGTTATTGCAACTTTTCTATTTTTAGTATGTTCTTCTTGTAACTACTCTAAAACTCTCTTCTAAGGTGCCCTATGTTCAAATACACATAAATTAATTTCACTTAATTAAGTTGTTTGCTCCCAATGTTCTAGTTACAAAATAGCCAATGAACCCAAAGCCTGCTTGGTGAACAGCTATTTAAGATTTTCCATTTTACTCAGCCCAGAGGCATTGCTAGTGACTCTCAGTTTGCTCAGCAGTATCATTCACAAAGAGAAATTCTTCAGAGAAAAAACACAATGAAGTCTAAGGAAAATATTAGCAAAAGAAGGAGGGTAGAGAAAGGAGAAATAAGAGTGGCATCTTGTTTTAATGTATGGTAAAGGGAATAACATTCCCATAAGGACAACCAAAACAGTTATAACCCTTTGGGTGTCTTCCTGAATTTTCTAATGTGATACTTCAGATTATCCCTTTACAAACTATTGTAGCAAAAAAAAAAAATGTGTATAACATATATATACACAGCCATATAAGATACACTAGAGGAGAAGTTGCACTGGATAATAGCATTATTGCCAAAAAGTCCATCTACGTCTTTGTGGGATAGTCACTCAAGAGTGACGATGATACCAACAATACCTTTGCAGACCCCTTGGTCAGGGAAGAAGCCCTCTCCACAGTGAGGCAGACAGTAACCTTGATGCAGAGGCCGGTGGGGGCTGCAAGCAGTGCAGTGAGAAACCATGGGTCCGAAGCAGCTGGCACATGAGTCATGGCACGCTGAGGAAGAGATGGGTAGGGGAAAACGCTATGGTGTGGAGGTGGCAACAGAGCCACTTCCTGGCTGGCTTCGTGTGTGCTGGGAAGGCATCACCCAGCACTCTTGGTCCCCTTCAGACGTCATGCAAACCAGAGAAAGGTGAGTCAGGAGGTAGTTGCACTGTCGCCACTGCCCGCATCTTCCTTGACCCACATTTCATCCATGCTCTACCTGTTATTTATCAGCTACCCTTTATGGAGTGTTTGCATCAAGTGCTTTATACACACTGTCACTTCTAATTCCCATAACATGATCAGGTAGGCATTATTAACTCATTTTATAAATAAGGAGACTGAGGTCATGGGAGGTTAAAAATTTACCCAGGATAAAAGAGCTCATTCAAAGCAGGACTGGGATTTAGCCTTAGGTCTGTCTGGACCTGAAACCCACACTGCCTGAATGGGGAAGGGTGGAAAGGCCACAGGTCTGTGTGCCAGAAGCACTGGCACTGCCCACTAACTAGCAGATACTCTCACTGGGTCTCTCCAGGCCTAGTTTTCTTGGCACAGGTACAGTGAGAAGTTGGACTAAGTGGTCATTTAAGATATACCCAGCTCTGATGTTCTAGGAGTCTTTTTCTCATTATTATTATTATTATTTTAAAGATGTGGGGTACAATTCAGGGTTAGGTATACAAAAGTTCATTAGGTATACAAATGTTCAGGTATCCTTGTTGATAAGGTGTGTCCCTCCTTCCCCTAGTAGTTTCCCTCAACTACCAATCCCTTGATGTTCTACGATTCTAAGTAAGATTTATAGTAAGAATCTTACACAGGACAATGATCAGGAGCTGGGAGTGAGAGTGTAGAGACAGAATTAGAGCACTGGCAGGACGCATAGGAAAGGAGGTAAACACTGGGTGAGTAAAGAGGCTGGCCAGCAGAGGAGAGGCTGAAAAGGAGATGGGGCGGGATGGGTCTAGATATCTGCACTAACAGATGTTGGATAGATGTGATGGTGTGCATGCATGTTTCAGAGAGGGAATCAGTCAAGATATCTCTGGCAGTAAGGAGTTCTCAGAGTTACCTGTCAGGAAAGACACAAATCAAGCATATACAAGTTGGAAACTTACAGGGTCACAAATGGGAATATGTCATCACTTAAACTGCATAACTCTGAAGGAAACAATATATAAATAGCACATAAAAACAAATGTTCAATGGATACAGCTTTCAGTTTTACCAGTTATCAAACTTGGTTTAACTTTTTAATTTTACTTTTGTGGTATGCTGTAGTTGCCAATATATGAGTGTATAAATGCCATGCAAGAAATTATTCCATCATGTCTATAACCTAAGTACCTACCTAGGTACAATCATTACCTAATGATTGACAAGTACACAGGACTGTATGTTGAAGATGTTCTTGGTATTTCAAAGGGATCAAATGAGCTCTAATGATGATTAATGTGCATAAGTCCTTCATTTAGCTACTCCAGTCCCCTGGCACCCAGACCTCCCACTCCCATACCCGCACACAGTGGTTCTGTAATGAAAGAGATATCCTTTTTAAAGTAACATTTTCCCATTTTACACCCAAATTCCCAAGTAAGTAGCATATAGAACCATGTGTAGTCAAACATGTTTTGAACAATTTTTGATGATGATGGTAATCCATCTCTTACCTTTGCATCTGCCAGTGGCATCAGCATAGTACCCACCAGGGCATTTAGAAACACATTTCCCATCATGCAACACTGTCTTCTCAGTACAGGTAAGACACCTGGGGCTACTGGGGCCACAACTCTTACAGGATTGGTCACAAGCTAAGAAGGAGGAAAACCCATCAGAGAAAGGCAATAGTGAGCAAAAGAAGCAGTGAAGTCTACTCTTCACAACATTCACAGTAGGCATCCATATAGTAATCTCAATCTTACTGGCTGCTCAACAGAATTCTACTTCCTTGATTCCAACATGTCAAAAGACTCTGTGCTTTCTGTTTTCACAGTTGAAGGAGAACTGAAGAGTTATTCATTGAACTAATCATCACAAAGACTGAGGCACACCCACCTGTGTAACCAGTTTAATATGGGATTTAAAAACTAAAATGGTCTTGGAAGTAGATCTGTCAGATTTATCAAATTAAAATGCTAGATGTTAAGTTTAAACTTCAGTTAAATAAAGAATTTTCTTTGTATAAATATGTACCAAATATTGTATCCTTTATTTTACCCTACTTAGAGAATCCAGACACCAGGGTTCTACTAGACTAGGTCATGCTGCTAAATTATGTAGAGATTGCTGAACTACACTCAGTCCGTCAGGATCTCATTCACTTATTCATTTACCACACATACAAAAAAAATTTATTAGGGTTGGTGTCAGGTCTTGGGCCAGGTGGTAGAAACATAAAAACCAAATCTGCTTTCATTAGCTTAATAGTCTATTAGAGAGAAAAGAAATAGACAATATAAGAAATATTAAAAGTGTCACTCAGATCAATCTGTTTAAGTACAACAACAACAAAAATGTGTGGGGAAAGGAGGCAGAAAGGTCAAGAAGGGATTCATAGAAGGAGAACTCTTGATCATTGTCTTCGGAGGCAAGTGGGATTGTGCTAGGCTGATGCAAATGTTCTCCAGGCTGAAACAAAGGCAGTCAAGGCTCAGAACCTGGGAAGACACTGGGAGATTCAGGGAAATAGCAGTTCTGTTCAGTTGGAAAAGCAGGGAGGCCAAGTATGGAAATGTACAGTCAGACACAGTTGTCTAGATCTCCTCCTGTGGAGTCTCTGGGAACCCTGCAGGTCTAAACACAGTAGAAACATGGCTATGTCTGTGTATAAGATCACTTTGGCTTACAAAGGAGAGTGGGGGACCCCATAGGAAGGCCATGGGAAAGCTCACAGAACAAAATAATTAGGGGTTAAATGGAGCTATGGAGGCGGTGACAGTTTTGAGAACAGCGAAGCAGAAAGTGAGTCACATGGTTTCCAGGTCTCTGTCCTGGGGGTAGTGATGTCACTCATGGAATGAAACAAGAGTGGGTACTGAAGTACATGGAGCTCAGTGTGAGACATGGGCAGTCCAGTAGTAGTCTGACTTTTAGTTCTGGAGCTCAGGGGAAAGGTCTAGGATCATCACATAACAGGAGTTGTTGGAACCAAAAAAAATAGTTGATTTATTCAGGAAAAGCATGCAGGATAAGACAGAGGTAGGCAAACTGTAGATGAGTCTGTGACTCAATTTACCTATACTCGCTGGCCTTCAACAGAGCAGAGAAGGGCCCCCTGTGGAAAGTGGGAGCAGGGGAGAGAGGGTACAGCTGCAGAGTCTGTGATTCAGTTTACCCTATGCTCATTGGCTAACAAACAAAGAAAACTCTCTTTACACTACAAAAAAAAAATCAATGTTTCAAAAATAAAGAAGTGGGAGATTTATTCTGTCTCTTCCCTTAATTCACCTATACCCTATCAACCTCCTGAAAAATAGTTCACAAACTTGGGAAAAAAGATGCTAAGTGATGAGGCCAAATGTCCCATCCCGTATCCTGGAGGATTCAGCATCTGTCTAAAAGTAAATGTGAGGGCAAGATGATCTTCAGGAAATGGGCTGAGGCAATGGCCTTAATATCAGAGAAGACGAAAATCACCCTCAACGTATAACTCGAACAAAGAAACAAAAATGAACGTGAAAAGAGTTCTTCTCTCCTGCACCCCAGAAAAAACTCCTGAGGCTCCTAATTTTAGAACTGACGTCAATAAAACTGAATAACCCAAAAGTTAAATACAATTTCCCATAAATGAAAAACTGTGGACATTTTTTAAAAATGAGAATGGACCAATAATGAAAACATTGCATGTCAAACATTTTAAGACACCTGCCAGCCTAGGCAATATAGCAAGACCTTGTCTCTACAAAAAAAATAAAAAACTTAGCTGAGTATGGTGGTGCACACCTATATGTCAATCTACTCGGAGGCTGAGGTGGAAGGATCACCTGAGCCCAGGAGGTTGAGGCTGTGGTAAGCTGAGATCATGCCACTGTGTTCCAGCCTGGGGGCGACAGAGTGAGACCCCAAAAAAGGCACATCTAAAGTCATACTTAGAGGGAAATTTGTCATTTTAAATGAAATAATTAGGAAGATATTATTTCTTCCTGAACTAACCTATAACTTCAACACAATGTCAATAAAAATTTCAGTTGAATTTTCTTAGAAATTTAATAAATGTACTCTAAGGTCCACGAATAACTAAATCAACTTAGATGGGGTGAGGCAGGAAATTTTCCCAATTTGATAGAGATATATTAATATTACAAAGCAAAATAAATTAATGAACAAAACAGTGTGGTAGTGGTACAAGAACAGCAATTTAGACTATAATAATTTAGAAATTTCCATATCTTATAGCTCAGATAACCCTATGTGTTTATGAAAATTTAATATTACAATAAAATATAAAGAGAGAAGCCTAGGCCGGGCTCTGTAGCTCAGCCTGTAATCCCAGCACTTTGGGAGGCTGAGGCAAGTGCACTGTCTGAGCCCGCGGGTTAGCGACTAGGCTGGGCAACTTGGCGAGACCTCGTCTCTACAATAAAATAAAAAATAGCCAAGCGTGGTAACACACGTCTATAGTTTTCACTACTCGGAAGACTGAGGCAGAAGGATCGCCAGAACCCAGTGGGTACTGAAGTACGTGGAGCTCAGTGTGAGACATGGGCAGTCCAGTAGTAGTCTGATTTATAGTTCTGGAGCTCAGGGAAAAGGTCTAGGGTCATCACATAAAAGGAGTTGTTGGAACAAAAAAAACCTCCAAGTCAAAAAAAAAAGAGAGAGAGAGAGAGCCTAGACTGAATTACTATATCATATTGGGAAAATTGGATCATAAAATAGAGAAAAATCCAGTTGGATCCATACTTAAACTCCTATATATAAGTGGACTCCAGGAGAATCCACAACCTAAGTTAAGACAAAACTGTCAAATTAACAGAAGAAAATGTAGGATAATTTATTTGTGAAACTTAGCAGAATAGATCTTAAAAATTCACTGGCAAAACCTTAAAGCAAAAACAAAAACAAAAACAAAAAACAGATGAATTAAAGATTTCTGTTCAACAAAGGGCATATATTCAAAGTTAAAAGGCAAAAGAATGGGAAATATTTGCATGTTTAAAACTGAAAAAAGCCAATATTCATAACACACAAGGAGCTCCATACAATGAGCCCCACCAAAGGCAGCAAGGCCAATAGAACAGCAGGGAAAGCACATTAAGAAGCAATTTGTAGAAGAAGAAACCCAAGCCCAACAGGAGTTGAAGTTATGCTTGAACTCATTAATAATCAGAAATTTGCAAATTAAATGGGATGTCCCCTTCTACCCTTCAGACCAGAAAGAAAGAGAAGTTTGCTAACACCACATGGTGGTAAGGGTGTGGAGATGAGAACCCTCACACTTGGGAATGCAGGCTGTACAGCCATGCTGGTGAACCACTCACCATCACTTAGTCAAACAGTAAGTGTGCAGTCAAGAGACCAACCACTCTGCTCCTGCGTCTAGAACCCAGGGAACTTCCCCTGTAGGTTCACAAAGGCACACACCTGAGACTGTTCACTGGTGCTTTTTAGTGATGCAGATGGAGAGCTGGAGGGAGCTTATCCCTGGGATCGTGGATGAGTAAAATGGAGAAAACACAGGGGTGGGGACCCCAGAGAGCACCAAGCAGCAGCAAGAGTGAAGGGCTAGGTGACATAACCACATGCTCCATCTTAAAAATACAGTGCTGAATGAGAAGAGAACAGCATGCACTCTAGCAGAGTATCATTTAAGACAATTAAATATATGCCTCTTCAAAATAAAAATACCCAGTTTAGATAAGCTCATAAAAACAGAAAGGTAAACAAATTAAAATGGTGGCAGAGGCGCGAAAGAGAAACGAGGATAAAAAAAGAAAAGAGGCCAAGCGTGGTGACTCACACCTATAATCCCAGCACTTTGGGAGGCCGAGGTGAGAGGATTGCCTAAGCCCACAGATTCGATATTAGCCCATGCAATTTGGTAAGACCTCATCTCTATAACAAATCAAAAAAAAAAAAAAAATTAGCTGGGCATGACGGTACATGCCTGTAGTTTCAACTACTTGGAAGACTGAGCTACTTGGAAGACTGAGCTACTTGAAAGACTGAGGTGGAAGGATCACCTGAACCCAGCAGATCGAGGCTGCAGTGGCCGTAAGTGTGCCACCACTCTACTCCAGTCTGGGAGACAGAGTGAGACTCTGACTCAAAAAAACAAAAGACAAAACAAAAAAAGGAAAAGAGAGAGAAAAACGAGAAGGGAGCACAGAGGAAAAAAGAGAAAGTGAGAGAGAATGACTACCAGACACCTGGGAAGCTGCTTTGACTTGTTACATTAGAAGGGTCAGAGAAGCCCTTCATAATCACACAAGTACTTAAAGACAAAGGAATGAGGTTTTCCCTCTGAACTGCCCCACCCTGTATATCTAATATTTGTAAACCTCAAAACATGCCTCACAGATGAACTTGATGTTCTTTTAGCCAGGGCATACCACCATTCACAAGAGGCTATGTTGGATTTTTCTCAGCACTTGACTTTGAGATTTCTACAGATATGGGCTGGTTGGTCATAAATTATTAAACCCACACCAGTTGGTCTTTATCTTGAACAGCACTAATCTGAATTGGAAATAATTCAGCATTACCAGCATTCGATGTCTTAACTAACATCCCGATAATAATCAGTGAGCCGGCTCACTGTTGTTTCAGAAAATATTTACGTGAATATTTCTTAGAGAACTCTAGCAATTTTATGAAAAGTATAAGCTCCCATTTTGTTGATATAAAGGCCTGTTGGTCAGTACCAATTTTATCGCAAGTTCTTGCATTGTGCTAAGCACATGACATACGTTCAGATGTGTTGATCAGTTGACTGTCAGCTGATCGGTGTCAGCTGGGATCCATCCTCCTGCCTGGAAGTTTTCCTTCTGATGCTTTTTAAAATGTATATAGATAAAGCAGATTCCCACCTCTCCCAGCCCCTCCTTTTAAGGAAACCGCTTCCCCAGCAAAAATTGCTTTCTCAATCCAGGTAATGTCGAGTCCCAGGGGAAGACCAGTGTCACCACTCCTCTGCCAGTGACAGCAGCCAGCCTCCTGGGGACTTAAAGAGTAAATGCCTCCAGGCCCCAGATTAGTGCAAATTTGGCATCTGTCCGATCTTCAGAAAATACATCTGGCTTAATGGAGCAGGAAAGTGATGCTGGCAGAGAGAGATGAGCATGCTCAGGCTAATGGCAGCCTGGCTCCTTTCCTCGTTCTCTCCCTAGTCCACACAGAAGCTGCCTGTGACTCCTCTGTGCCAAGTGAGGCTTTTCATACCCACAACTCTGACGAACACAGCTCTATGCAGGCATCTGCCAAGGGTCATCTCTCTTCCCTAAGACAAGTGGATTTGGCAGGGCCCTAAATCATCTAATTTTTGCTCTTGCCCTGCTCAATGAACAAAATAAGGACAAAAACACAGAAAGTTGTATGAGCTGCACGTTCTTATCGATTTAGTGGACTTAGTTATGAAAAAGTCACCACAGCCTTTCTACAATCTAGGCATGACCATCGCAGCAAACTCAGTTCAAACTGTCCATGTACTGTCAGACAGTCATCTGCAGGCCTGGTGGCATTCACATGAGTGGCCTGCTCATCTAAAGACTGGCAGGAACACAGAAGCAGGAGGAGAAAAGGAAAGGGGGGAAGGACAAGGAAAAGGAAAAGGAAAAGGAAAAACAGGCAGAGATGCATAAGAGAACACAAGACAATGAGCAGCAGAGTGGTTCACAGGCAGCTAGAGTCTCAACTCTGCCCCTTATTAGCTGTGTGATCTTAGGGAAGTTTCCTGCCCTCTCTGTTTCCTCATCTGAAAAATGAGAATGATAATATCTACCTCATGAAATTGTTGGGAGGATTAACCACCAAGCACTGACATAATACCCTGCCAGGCACTGTCCTAAGTGCTTTGTATATATTGACTCAGTCCTCTCAACAGCCTTCTGAATTGGGTGTGTGTTAGTTTCCTATTGCTGCCGTAATAAGTTGCCACAAACATTTTGGCTTAAAACAGTACAATGTGGCTGGACGCAGTGGCTCACACCTATAATCCCAACACTTTGGGAGGCCAAGTTGGGAGGATTACTTGAACCAAGGAGTTCGAGACCTGCCTAGGCAACATAGCAAGACCTCATCTTTATAAAAAATTTAAAAAATTAGCTAGGCTTGGTGGTGCGTGCCTGTTAATCCCAGCTACTCAGGAGGCTGACCTGGAAGAATTACCTGAGCCCAGGAAGACAAGGCTGTGGTGATCTGTTGTGATCACGCCACTGCACTCCTGCCTGGGTGACACTGTGAGGCCCCACTCAAAACAACCCCCCCCCCCGCAACTTTATGATCTTATGGCTCTAGAGGTCATAAGTCCTCACTCCAGGGTACCAGCATGGCTGCATTCCTCTGGATGTTCCTTTCCCTTTCTGGATCCTGAAGCTGCTTGGACAACATGGGTCCCTCCTTTCTTCCCCCCAGCCTCTGGTTCCATCCTCACCTCTACTTTACTGATTTGCCCTACTACCTTCCTCATGTAAGGACTCTGTGAATGCATGGGGCTCCCCCCAGACAATCCAGGATAACATCCCCATGTCAAGATCCTTCTCTAAGTTATCCCCACCAAGCTCTTTTTGCTATCAGAGGGAAAACACCACAGGGTCTGGGACTAGGACAGGACATCACTGGGGACCATTCTTCTGTCCACCACAAGCTTCTACTATCCCCATTGTACATGCGAGACTAACATGGGAGAGATGAAGTAACCTGCCCAAAGCCATGTTTCCTCCCAACTCTGCTGCCTCTCAACAGGTCAGTGTTTACAAGGCACTTGGAACTGCACCCACACAAGCAGGCTCCACACCGGCTAACTCTCACTGTCATGGCCATGTGTCAAGGGAAGAATGGACAGAACAGCTCTGCTGTGAGTCAGGCACCAACCCCAGAGGCTGGGCTGCCGGGGTCTCTTGTCTCCATGCATGTTGGGAAGGATGTCTGGCTTTGATGGAGCATCTGGGATTTGGAGAGAGGAAGGCTGGGTGGGAGCCTGAGGCTCCAGTTGTGGGTCTGAGCAGGCATCCTGGGCTTCACTGTCACAGGACAGGTGGGGCAGGGGTGAGTATGTGACTCTGACAAGCTGTCAGGGCAGTTAAGGGGATACCACCAGTGAAAAGGGCTCTATAGGTCTCTAAATCCATGTTTGTTTACTACGTAAAAGAAACACTGGTGATGGTGCTGTGATCTGAAGGCAAGGTGCTGGAAGAGGAAGACAGGATAGATTAGTCCCAGCCCAGCACTCACCATGGCAGGCACCCTGCCAGTTGTAGAAGCCCTGGCCACAGCTGCTGTCACAGCCACCGTCCCTCAGCACAAGGTGGGGATCCCTGCAGGTCAGGCAGTGCTTCTCTGTTGGGCCCCAGCAGCTCGCACAGGACTCGTGGCAGACTGTAGACAAACAGTAAGACTGGTGAGCATTTTTTCTCTCACATGTTTTAGGATTTACAAGGAGGATGCCAGCTGGTCCCTTGATTTCTAAGCTGCTAGGCACATGTGTAAACCTCTGGAGAAATGCAGGTTTCCCTCACCTACCCAAAAATATATATATAACTATTTTTGTTGATTAGTAGTACAACTTCAGAGCCGAGCTCGGTGGCTCAGCCTGTAATCTTGCGCCTTGGGAGGCTGAGATGAGTGAATTGCCTGAGCCCGCGGGTTCGAGACCCGTGTGGGCAACTTGGCGAGACTTCATCTCTACAATAAATCAAAAATCAGCTGGGCATGGTAGCATGCGCCTGTAGTTCCAGCTACTTGGAAGGCTGAGGTGGAAGGATCGCCGGAGCCCAGCAGGTCGAGGCTGCGGTGGCCGGGAACAGCTACTGCACTCCAGTCTGGGCGACAGAGTGAGACTCCCACTCAAAAAGAAAAAAAAAAAAAAGAAGTACAACTTCAGGAAAGCACTGCTAAGAGATTTGGAAAGGAAATTAGAGGGCTTTGGTAATGAGATTTATGAGGAAGGAATTCATAATCTAGACTAAGACAGCCTAGGGAAATCAGATGGCACTTCATGCCCTTGTAATCGATCACACCTCCCACCCGCAGCCCCCTCAGAATCAGTTGCAGAGGGACACCTATAGCTCCAGCCTTGGATTCAACCTTCCAAGGACCCAGTCCTAAGTGACATCTACTGGGCTTTGCCTCTCCTTTTCCCCACAATAGCATCTACCCTATACATATGGCTTAAAACCCACAAAACCTGCTTTTCTCTCATACCTGAAGTTTCTAACTATAGGGTGTGCCTAGACCAGAGTGACTCCTTCAGGATTTTCAGATTTCCTCTTCAGCACTTAATTTTTTTTAAAGTTACTCTTCAAACTTGCTGTTCACCTTAGCACTTGTGCAAAGATAGGCCTATTCTGAATAAGTGAATATTTTCAGGTTTGGCTAGCTGCCTCTACAGCTAAACTCACCTATGCTTTTATTAATCCACCCTGATTTTAAAGATGTTTGTTTCACAATAGAGCACAAACTATTCTGCAGAGGCATTGATTCTGACCAAAACAGGCAGGGAGATGAACGTCTTTGCAGCCTGCAAATGGCTTGGCAATCATCCCTAGTAATTAATGAGGTACACTTTAGAAATGGAAGAAGGGATGCCTGCATTGCAAACCTCAAGATCCAGCCCACTCCTCTAAGCTCTGAATGGCACAAACAAGTGCCCAACAAGGCAGCAATAATTATGAATTGTGTTCAGTGCTGGGAAGGGCTCTGCAATAGAGTGGCTGTGGTGGGGTGGCAGGGACCAACTTCAGATTGATCTAAAGAAGAAGAAATAGCCAGCCACAGGGGGTCAGACCAGCACGAGCAAAGCTCCTGAGAAGGGAAAGAGCCCGGAAAGTCAGCGAACCAAAGGCCACTCTGTGGCTGGAGCTGGGCGCCGGTGGGAGGGCATGGTGGGGCACCATGAGGCACTGTGGCATGATTCAAGGCTGGAGCCACTTGGCAGCGCTGGCCAAGTTTGACCTCGGAGATGAGACCAAGGAAACAAAGTAGGATCTGTATTGTAATTACAGTGTGAAGTCACGAATGGGCTCATGCAGGATAGACACAAGGTCTGCCAGATGTTCCAAAGCTCTCTCTGGCTGCTGTATGCAGAGGTTGAAGGACCTGCCTGCAAGCAGGGAGACCTGCGTGAGTCCACTGTGTGGCCCAGGTGAGAGAGGACCATAGTTTGGACGAGTGGGGGGGAAGCAGAAATGAGGAAAGTTTACTTATTTATAATCTGGTTCCGTGACGAGATCATAAGCTTCAAAAAGGCAAGAGTCTATTTCCATGTGTTAACTGCATGCCCAGCCCACTGCTTGTGCTTTACAAAAATCTTGAGTGACTTTGTTTATACTTAACACCTTATTTACATTTTTGTAAGTATTACACAAGAAGACTGCTCATCTGTATGATAAGCTGCTGGCTCTACATTGTAACTAAAGACATGGATGCAGAGCTCTCAGCAACAAAGTCTGCCCTTAAGGAGCATAGACCCTGCCTATCATTCAGATATTCACCTCCTCTCAGGTTCCTGACTGTGATCGTTATCTGGAGTGTCTATCACTCTTTATGCCTTTGCCTCATTCACTCTGGAGTGGACCCAAAGTCCTTACCTAAACAAACAAACAAACAAAATCGCCAACCTAATTTCTAAGAAGATATGCCAGGCTGTCATATCAACATTCAACAGAAGCACACAAGGCATAATGCTGGCCTGAGACACCTCCCCAGCTGGATGCAGTTAGCCCCATTACTTGAGGCCTGCTACAGAAACATGTAGAACGCTCCCTTGCCCGAGTGCACGTGGCACTGTGAACACAGTATTGGGGAGTAAGCACTTGAGAAAGTGGTGAGTGCAAGAGAGGCTAAAAAGACAACAGGGCCAGACCACCAAGGACAGGTGGGTCAGAGAGAGACCACGGCCAAGGGAGGCTGAAAAGACAACAGGGCTAGAGCACCAAGGTCGTGTGAGTCAAGAGGAGACCTTGGCAAGAGAGGCTGAAAAGACAACGGAGACCAGACCACCAAGGTCAAATGGGTCAGGGTGAGACCTTAGACTCACCCCATGGAAAGTTTTAATCAGGGCAGTAGAGCAATCACTTTTTTTTGTAGAGAGTTCACTCTTACTGTAGGGAGAAAAGAAAGTTATTGACTGAAGAATCTTTAGGGGATGAAATAATCTCTGTCCAAGGGGTATAAAGAAGAAGGAGAGCTCAGCCTCCTAGTTCTCTTCAGCGACTGGTTGGATGACAGTTCAGACACTCAGCTATACTGGTCAAAGTAGTAAAATACATCTTGACTGGCTGGTGAATGTCTGTGTCTCTGCACCTTAGCTGAAGGCATTGCATCATCCCCGGGAACCTGGCTGACACCACGCTCCAGCAGGCAGAAGGTCTGGCACAGGGGTTGGTCTGGGGTCCTCCTCTTCCTGTGATTTGAATCTGGGCCATACTATTTGCTAAATATTTTTAATATCATTCTTGATGCTGCCAATCAGAACAGGGGCAAAGGACAAGCCAGGTAGGCTGTGTTAACAGACTTGGGGACAGCATTCGAGCCCCTCACATACAGAGCTCTCCTTGGCTTTCCAGTTCCGCCTTCTACTCCCTCCCCGCCCCCGACACACAATTCTTAGAGCAGGGGACCCTGGGCATGCCAGCTGCTGTCCATGAACTCAAATGTCCCAGCACAATCCATCTAGCCAGCAATGTCTCTGGCTCCTTCTTGAGCCTCCAAAATCCTGTTTACATTTTATTTCCTGTTTATATTTATAGTTCCCAAGTTGACATTACCTCTGTGACACTTTGCTGAGCTTGTCTAAACTAGTTACTCCTTTCTCTATATTCTTGCAGCATTTTGTACATGCCTCTCTTATGATACTTATCTTACTGCACTAATTATTTGACTACAAATTAATCTCCTCCAGTGGAATGTAATACCCTCCCAAAAGGGGACCGTGTTTTAGTCATCTTAAACCCCCAGTGTCCAGATTGATGCCTGGTACACAGTCCGTTCTCATTTAATATATGCTAAATAAACACAACAGAATTTTTAAAAGTTGGTTATGAGGAATTCATCCTATTAGCGATCTTCTACAAGGAGACAAGTAACCATGAGGGCATAGTATTAAGATATAATAACTTAAGATGAACTGGAAGCTGTAACAGTCACTTAATAAACACTGAAGTACAGCTCTGCTTATGATGATAAATACTGATGCTGCATCTATATAGAGAGCACACATGACACTGGTCTTGCTGGTCCTCTTTTTCCCGTATTGGACAAAACACTTGTTCTATGGCTAGCCACAACAGAAGGAATTTTTATTTTGACTATACTAAGCTGTCATTTCTTATTATAATGGCATACTTTCACTGTGTTTTTTAAATAGATTTTATTATGCATATTTAAGGTATGCACCATGTTATATGATGGATATATATAGTAAAGTGATTACTATATGTATAGGAATAAATTAACACATCCATCATCCCACATAGCCACCCATTTCTCTCCCTGTGACAAGAGCAGCTATAATCTACTGATTTAGCAAAAATCTCACCGTGTTTTGCAATTGGTTTCTAATTTTTAACACTGAACATATGTTACTATAGATTATCTCTTCTTGTAGGCTTATTTTACATGTGGCTTTTATTATATTTAAGTTTTAATGAAAAAATAAGAGGTCACTCCCTGACTTTTCACCAAGATTTCTCTTAGTGATACATTTTAGATCACTCAGGATTTGAATTATATATTATGAAAATTGTGGCAATAAATTTAAAAAGAGGGTGAGTAAGGGAAAGTTATCTTTTTATCTCACATGCAGCAAATAATTTATTTGCTAAGGTCCCTGACTTTTCTGGAGCATAACAAGACATGTGTTAGCTTGTTGAGCAATTCATTTTTAAAATGAAAAAGAACAAATTACTTTTCTCTTGGCAACTCTATATTGAAACTCTACTCTAAAAATAAGAAACCTCTTTTTGTACTTGATAATTTTGAGATAGAAGATGGCTTTGAAATTTTTTAACCTGTGCTTCTCTGGGAATAAAGTGTAGCCCTTTCCCAGAAAAGCCTGAAAAGCACTTCCTCAGGCACCTGATTTTCCATGAAGCTTTCCAGACTCTGGAATGGATGCAGGTAACCGTAGGCTCCATCTATGGTCTCTGGGAGTCAGTTTCCAGGGAGCTAGTATGCTTGATCTGCAGCTTCTCTGAGGTTCATCAGTGAGGCTGCAGTTCATACTTCCAAACTGCCAGAATGTTTTTACTCAAAACTCGACAGAAACAGCCCAAACTTCAGGCACAAGCAGGTGTGTCAGACACAAATCAAGTTCCTTCACTCAGTTTTGCATCCAGCTGTGGCAACTGCCAGCTTTCTTTCCCATCTCACAGATGATG